AAAATTGACTTTTTAAAAGCAACAGAAACAGATTTTGGCACACTGCAATAAAGCTAGTGTTGGAGAAGATTTTACATACAGGTTAAAGTTTAATTATTGAGCAAATAAATTAATGCATTCAAGTTAAAGTAGTTCCTCAGTCAAAATATTTATAGGATAAGATACTTAGAGATATTTTGAAAGACAACCCAGTAGGCACACAATGTCATAAGACATTAATATTAAGTTAGATTTAGGTCGTGGCGTCATCAGATGACCAAAATTTGATGTCTGGCCAGCATCTAAGGACGTTATTTTGACATGCAATAACGACTTCAAATTATGTTGATATTTGGTTGATTTTAGGCATACCTGTCAACCCTCCTGTTTTTCCCAGGACGTATTTTATAGTTCTATCCCGGTATCATCCTGTAAACTTTCCCAGTTTTTCTCTCATATTTTCAATCTTTCTATGAAGGGTGGCAATAAACATTAAAGAGCCGATCCTCCCTATATGCAACCCATATCGCCAAACCACCATAGGACACCTCTTGCTCTTACATGTGATTCTGTTCTGTGCCTTTGTTTTTGTTTTTTTTTAGGCATGTAAAACACTTTAAATTAAATAGAAAATCGGAGGGATTCCCTTCCTTTCCATTACAGGCCACTTTATGTCATATCAATCAGGCAGTGAAGATTGGTAATTTTTAAAGAAATAGATCTTGAACGTGGTGATTTTTTAATAGAAAGACTTAAAAAATTAAAGTTCTGTGTGCAGATATACCTTATTATGAGTATTGATTATTTATTAATTAAATTAATTTATTATTGTATTTATGCAATTTTGTAATAGAAAGACAGTTCACCAGAAGCGCTTAGGCTGGCAGACTTAAAAAAAAAAAATTCTATATGCAGATATTATGTTGGTTAACAGTGGCCCATTTGTTAAAGAGTGAAAACCCCCACTTAGTCTTTCATTGACAACAAATACAAGGCGATTAGTTGAGGACCTGTTATAGGCTTTGTGATGGATTGATTGTCTTACTGATTTCTTGGCTGTTTGACAGTGCTGTCATTCCCCGGTCATGGATGAGAATGATATTGAACACAGCTTTCATGCCAGGTTCATCGAAACACGGAAAGGCTTTTCTTGCATATGTGGCCTGCATCTGAGTGATGGCAATAATCCTGGAAACAAAAGAGATCACATCAACATGATTAATAAATGGAAAAATTAGTCATCAGGGGTCGCCACAGCGGAATGAACCAACAACTATTCAAGCATATGTTTAACACAACGAATGCACTTCCAGCTGCAACCCAGTGCAACCACTGGGAAACACCCATACACCCTCATTCACACACACTTATACAATACGGTTAATTTTGTTTACCCAATTCACCTATAGCACATGTCTTTGGACTGTGGGAGAAACTGAAGGAAACCCACATGCAAACTCTACAGAGAGATGTCAACTGGCCCAGTCGGGATTCAAACCAACTACCTTCTTGTTGTGAGGCGACAGTGCTAACTACTAAGCCACCATGACGCCCCGTAAGTTCACATTTTACTATTTTTTTTATAAGATATAGCTTATATTTCTGATTGAATTTATCTAATAGCTTTACCTGAAACCCAAAATATCAAACCAAGAGGAAATAATATATATATATATATACATATACAGGGTGGGCCATTTAAAAGGATGCACCTTAATAAAATGGGAATGGTTGGTGATATTAACGTCCTGTTTATGGCACATTAGTATATGTGAGGGGGCTTGTAAATAACTCATGAAAGAATAAAGTTACGTTTAAAACCAAGCACATAATTGTTTTTCTTGTGAAATTCCCAGTAAGTTTATTATATAAATGGCCTCTTTATTTTTTTCCCCAATTTCTGTTTAACAGAGAGGAGTTTTTTTTTACACTTTTCTAATCATAATAGTTTTAATAACTCATTTCTAATAACCGATTTATTTTATCTTTGCCATCATGACAGTAAAAAATATTTGACTAGATATTTTTCAAAACACTTCTATACAGCTTAAAGTGACATTTAAAGGCTTAACTAGGTTAATTAGGTTATCTAGGCAGGTTAGGGTAATTAGGCAAGTTATTGTATGATGATGGTTTGTTCTGTGAAAGAAAAAAATTGCTTAAAAGTGCTAATAATTAATTTTTTTTCAGCTTTTATTCTAGCCGAAATAAAACAAATAAGACTTTCTCTTGATGAAAAATTTTATCAGACACACTGAAATTTTCCTTGTTCTGTTAAATCACACTTTTAAGCAAAATATTTCTGAAAAGATGAATACATACGCTACTGTTCAGAAGTTTGGTTTTTTTTTATTTGCTAAAAAATGACAGCAAAAACTTTTTTATTATGAAATATTATTTAAATTTTAATATAAGAGTTTTCTGTTAATATAATTGAATGTCATTTTCTGCATCAAAGTGATGACAGTCAGTGTTACTTCAGAGATCTAATTTTCTGATTTGCTGCTTTAAAAACACTTTTTTTCCTAATCATTGTTGTTAAAATCTGTACTGTTAAACTATTTTTTTACTGGAGATAAGAAGTTTTTTTAGTATAACTTTTGGTCAATTTATTATATTCTTGATCAGTAATTTATCTTTACATCCCTGTATACTTTTTTCCACAATTTCTCTTTTGAAATATAATAGTTTTTAATAGCTAATTTCTAATAACTGATTTTCTTTGTCTTTGCCATGATGACAGTAGGGCATCATGGTGGTGCAGTGGGTAGCACGATCGCCTCACATCAAGAAGGTTGCTGGTTCAAGCCTCGGCTGGGTCAGTTTGCATTTCTGTGTGGAGTTTGCATGTTCTCCCCATGTTCACGTGAGTTTCCTCCAGGTGCTCCGGTTTCCCCCACAAGTCCAAAGACATCCGGTATAGGGGCATTTGGTAAGCTAAATTGTCTGTAGTGTATGTGAGTGAATGAGTGTGTATGAATATTTTCCAGGGTTGCAGCTGGAAGGGCATCCGCTGCGTAAAACATATGCTGGATAAGTTGGCGGTTCATTCCGCTGTGGCGACCCCAGATTAATAAAGGGACTAAGCCGAAAAGAAAATAAATGAATGATGAGAGTGCATAATATTTTACTAGAGATTCAAGATACTATTAGCTTAAAGCGACATTTAAAGGCTAAACTACTCTACTACTACTCTAACTTTTACTAAAAGTTGACTCCACCTAAAATTTTAAGGCAACCATCTTAAGGACATCTTTGAGTTTACTCAACTTAAATCGAATCAAGTAAGTGGAAGGTTGAGTCAACTCAAAAAAAAGTTTGTTCCCTTAAAATTTTAAGTTGAGTTAACTTAGTTTAATTAAGTTGATTAGGCAAGTTAGGGTTATTAGGCCAATCATTTTATAATGATGGTTTGTTCTCTAGACAATCGAAACAAAAATATTGCTTAAGAGGGCAAATAATATTGACCTAAAAATGAATAAAAAATAAAGTAAAACTGCTTTTATTCTAGCCAAAATAAAACAAATAAGACTTTCCCCAGAAGAAAAAATATTTTAGGAAATACTGTGAAAAATTCCTGACTTTGGTAAACAGCATTTGGGAAATACTTGAAAAAGGAAAAACAAACCCCAGGAGGGCTAATAAATTTGACATCATATATATAAATACACTAACTCCGAACTTTAAACAGTAGTGTAGGTGCTGCTCAAAATGAACACAGATATAAAGTATTATGAAGTTTTCTGTTTGGCTGAACATAAAGGCAAGCACATCCGTGGTTTGTCTGCTGGAACTGATTTCATACCCATCAGACATATCTGACATATTCTTGAAACCAGTTGCTGAGAAGTAATTGCAAACATGGCTCAGAAAAAGTGAAGTTACTTTGAAGAAATCTCTATCTTGATTTGCATTTCGGGTTTGGTTTGATATTTCACATCAAATGCAATGATATTAGTAGTTCCTAGAGAAGCTATATTACCGCAAACAGGCATCCATAAACATCTCACTTTTTTTCACCATCCTCCATGTATTCGCTCCTATAGAATCCTTCCAGATCGTCAGCGAGCTCTCCTGTGAACTCGGTGTGGAGCCAGTAGGACTTTCCGGGGTTCAGTTTTCCCTTTAGCTGAATCACTAAATACTGTGTTTGCGTCTGAAGCCAGGTGCTTTTTATGGCCGGCGCTGTTACGCCACTCATACCTGTGAGTTTGGCGTGGCGTCCATTGAACAGAGTCAAGTTAAGTTTGTTGGAGTGGATTAAAATCAGGTCTGTCTTCTTCACGCAAGTAAACATCACGTCAGAAATCCCAGTGAAAATGTACATCCCGTTGGCGTCCATCACCATTTGAGGCCAAAGAGTTATGTTGTAGTATTGTGGTGAAAGAGTATCAGGGAGTCTGTACTTGTCCCAGGGCTCGTTGGAAGGCTTTGGCGTTGGAGGAACTGCCGATGTCGTCGCATTAGTGAGTTTCGCTGTGTTTTTGGACTTTTCTCGATTGTAGACTACTGATAATGCGATGATGGTCACTAAAGCTATTGCTGCCAGTATCATGGCCGCCGTGGCCAGATGTTTGCTGATGTAATATCCTTTCCCCATTGCTTACTGAGATGTTAAACTGGCAGTTTCCTTTATGTACGTTTTGGTTTTTTGCTGCGGTGTTGAAATGATGCTAGCACGACGTTGCCTTCAGCAAAAACACATTGGTGGTTTTTCATCTTTGATGATATAAATGCCTATAAGAAGAAAAATACATGAATTAAATGTGATTAAAATAGTAAAGAAATGGTTCACTTTATTTATGCACCCATTCCCACATGGGAAAAAGTTGTAGTGTTAAACTGTATTATCATGTAGACTGTCAAAAATATACATATCTGTTATTTAACAGTTTCTGTATTTTTTAAGTGTGTTTGTCAGGATTCTGCCACTTTGGTTTCGTCAATTCTTGTTTTGGTGGCAGAGTCCAGACACTAGTCCTGTCTTGTTTTGTATATTGTGCTTGGCTTAAGTTTTCTCTTTGTGAAGTTTATTCACAAACTAATTTCGAGAGGATCACGTTATTATGATTGAACATGGCTGGTTCTGCATTAGCATGCATGATCCACCAATCAGGCCATTTCCAACCCACTATAAAGAGCCAGGGTTTTTCACTACAGTCATCTTTGATTTGAAGAATCCCCCCTTCCAACCCTACCTTTTCACCTTTCCCTCCATAGGGCGGCACAGTGGCCCAGTGGTTAGCACTGTTGCCTCACAGCAAGAACATCACCGGTTCTAGTCCTTTGACAGGCCGGTGGTTGTTTCTGTTCGTAGTTTGCATGTTCTTCCCATGCTTGCGTGGGTTTTTCCCGGGTTCTTGGGTTTCCTCCCACATTCCAAAAACATGCACAACAAGTGAATTGATCAATCTAAATTTTGCACTACAGTCAATCTCTCATCCTGCAGCATATCTCTTCATAGCATTAAATTTTTAGTCATCAGTTCTTATCAAGAGGGAGTTGTCAAAATCTACCTGAGCTTAAAGCTCCTCTCTTGCCCTGCTTACGGGAGGGAGCCCAGGACTCAAGGACCTTTTGGGCTCAGGGCTCTCTCCCGTGACAGCATGCCAAACCAGCTCATAATCAATCATCAGCTAAGTGTAAACTCTCGAATAGGCTGTTCTTTATCTGTCTTCGTCTTTTGTATAAGCGCCGTCTTGGGCGACTTAGGTCGTGTGCGCCTCTCGTCCTGGTGTTTGTGTTTGTCTGCTGCATGCTGTTTCATTGTCAGCTCCTCAGTCTAATTGACCCTTCGCTAAGCCACACCCAAAAAACGCCACCCACCAATCGTGGCTTAGCAACCGTAACTTCGAGCAGGGGTTCTATTAGGCTTTCGAGCGATGGAAACAAGCCAAAGCGTTGTGCATATGGATTGTGCAAATCTGATACCGGTATCCTTAAAGTTTGGACGGGGTGGTGGAATTTTTTCCCTTTTTAAAACCAAAAACCCAATAGGAGAAATGCCAGCAGTCAAGCTCTGTCAGGGGCACTAAAAGAGAGGGGTTAAGTTTATTTTGTTATGATATTCGTGACACATTCAGTGACAGACGGCAATAACTCACACACCTCCCACCGTAAAAAGATCTAAACTGTGAAAAAATACAAGGCAGGTTATGTTTCAAAGCTGTCTTTTTCTTTTCTTTTTTCGCTCGATATTATGAGCACTGCTCCGTTTAAGCCTTCGCCATAGTAGTCATACTAATAGCAGTCATATTTCCATCTGTTTAAAGCTACGAATATTTGAAAATACATATCAACAGAACAAAACAGAGATATGATCACAATCTGAGCATTTGCAATCAATATACTTCACCCGCAGCTGTTTTTCAGTCATTTATAACCCTCATGTCCATGTCAGCGCTGCAGTTCACCGATGTTTTCGTCCGTCTTTTAGAGATTTAGTCATTGGTGAAGACGTTATATCGGGTTAGTGTCTGCTTTTATATTTGGTTTCTGATCAATATTTGCTGGTAGGGAAAATCTATTTGTTCACTTCTGCTATTTAAACTTTGATTTGCATTTCAATTTATTTATTTTTTTATCCACTTAACGGCAAACTAGAAAAGAAACTATAAAAATCAGCACACAAAAACACTGACTGTTATAGGTACTCGTTTCCTCGTCGGTTAGTAACGCTATATTTCATTGCACAACAAAAGTCTGTCAGGCTTTTTGGCTAAAAAAAGAGAAATTACGGCTTAATTTGTTATTATTAAATTATTTTTATATTTCTCCTCTCCTGCTGTGCATGTGCTAAGCTGTTGAATGGTTAGCGTATGAGGCGGCTAGGCTAACCTAGCCTCAATTTTAATTAAATTATTTTTTAATCTATTGCCTATTATGTTGTGAATATACCCCTGTAATGCGTACTGCAGTGCTTTTTTGTCTGGCTTTCTCGGATTTCTCGCCTGTTCGCCAAAAATGATTAATTATATCCCTGGCAATGTCTGACACCGGCACATACATATGGTAATAGACGTGCCAGGCATGAAAGCTTGACATTCGTAACCAAAGTAACTAAGGTGGACTGGGCATAGCGAAGGGTTAATTGCTTTCGGTTGGCGCTGGGATGGAACATGCACGCTGGTAAGTGTTTAATTTATCGTGTACTCGTGTCTTGCGTTATGTTTGTGATAATGTTGTTAAAGCACGTGACCTGGTGTTTGCATTGTGACCATTGTAAACATGAGGTTAATGGGTTCTCTCATTGGCTTGTCCTGTTTTCACGTGAGCACAAGGCTTGTGTTGTCTCTTTGTGTCACGTGTTCTCCGATCTATTGTCTAGTCCCACCCTACTTGTTTTCCCATCATTAATTTATCATGTTCACCTGTTGAACATGATAAACTTTCAACCAGCATATGTTTTACAAGCGGATGCACTTCCAGCTGCAACCCATCACAGGCAAACTCTCATTCACAATTTACGGTCAACTTCGCTTACTCAATTCACCTTGTGGGGGAAACCGAAGCACCCAGAGGAAACCCACGCGAACATGGGGAGAACATGCAAACTTCACACAGAAATGCCAACTAACCCGGCCGAGGCTCAACACAGCGATCTTCTTGCTGTGAAGTGACAGCACTACACACTGCGACACCCCTATGTTCATCTCTCTGCTTGTTAATTATCCCTCCTTATAGCTCCCTGTTGTCTGCTGTCCTGTGCCAGTTCGTCAGTTCTCATACTCATGTCTTCAGACATTATTGATCATGAATCTCGTCCAGTCTTGCCTTGTCATGCCCTGCCTTGTTCAAAATACATGTAATCAAATCAATTAATTTTAAATCTAGATTTTTTTTTAGAATATACCCTGACTGTCTCACACTGAAAAGCACTCCATCACTTTCCTTTGGCTTAGTCTGTGATTTATCAGGGGTCACCACAGCGGAATGAACCACCAATTACTCTGGCATGTTTTTTTGGGGTGGATGCCCTTCCAGACACAATCACGCTGGCACATGAAACATGCACGCATTCTCTGTTTTCATTTACTTGGCTGTATGGAAAAGAGCTGCTTCAACAAGTTAAAATATCCTGAATACATATGAATATCCACTGTTTATGTTAAGGTTAAAAATATATGAATTTTCATTTTCAAAATCAGCTCAGACACCTTGAGCTAAGCTTGGAATACGTCATTTGAGTTTTTAGTCCAAGTGAATGCAATCCTGCACATCTGGATAAATCATATGCACTAATTCATTTGCTCTTTTTCACAGGTGCTTCCTCTTCATAAACGGCTTCGTTTACCAGCATTCTGTTATCATGTAATCTGAGTTCAGTCAACAAACACTTGCACATATTTTACTACTTTATGACTGTTTATGTGTTAGAAACTGTAATAAGTGCAAGACTTAAATGACCTATAAATAAATTTAAACTAATGGGGTAAATGTATGATTTTTTTATGCATTATTTATTTTTATTATTATTGGTGTGAGAGCAATTGATTTTTGTTTTGTTTCTAGTCCAGATATTGAAAAATTATTAAATCAAGAAGCATTTTCTTGACATATTTCTTATTTTTAGAAACCATTTATTAAAAGTGAGTTTTTTTCAAAAAAAAAAAAAAGAAAAAAAAAAGCTAAATAATAAAGCAGAAAACAGATTCTGCTTAGCCTTAGACAGATTAAGTAGCTTGTTTTAAGGAAAACCTTGCTTGTCTAGAAAATGCGTCTTGACTTAAATATTTGTTTACATTTAAACTAGGCAAACATTTAAATAAGTGTTAGTTTTTTTCAGTCTTCACACTAAATTTACTGTTACATACAAAATTAAACCGCACTTTTTAACTAAATGGTTAGATTTGTCAAAATTTGACCCAACTTGGGGTTAAAACAACCCAGCGTTTTTAGCGTACAGGTTGTCTGGAAGTATGACACTGAACAAAACGAATTGTAATTTTTTGCTTTAGAAGTCAGTCATTGGCAATGCAATGAAAGCTGTAAAAAAGTCCAGATCTGGCAACTCCGGTCTATATATAGTATAAATGCACACTCGTAATGGGCTATGGATGGAATAAGATTGAACGCCTTTCCCCTCTGACTCTTGCGTTCTCAAATAAACCAGAGTTGTGTTTTTAAGACTAATTTTGGTGCTTGTGAGAGATGTATGTGAAAGTTCAACTTGCAGATGTTTTTGCATTGGAGAAAAAAATGTGCAGTGGTCACATAAGGGGGCAATGAAAATATAATCATCATTACACCACAGTAAGGTTTTCTAAAAAGAAAAAGAAACACCTTAGATTTGTAAATGAAATAGTTACAATCCAAATTTAAATGGGGAATTGAAGAAAGATGATTCTCAGTTTTTCTGGATTTATTAGTTTTAATAGGTATGGGTTTGAGATTATTGTTAATGTCTATTTTATTTTATTAAGGTCTGATAACATAGCTTCTCAAATTTCAGCAAAAATGCTTTAAACACCTAGCTTTTTCATTTCAATTTTGTAAGACATTTCAAATCCAAAACAAAACAAAAGTAGGTTTACCCAAATATATAACTATAAAAACTATAAATCCAGAGAAAAGTTCAAGTCTTATGCTATAGTGTTGAGTTAGTTACCTGAAAAAAGTTGCAATTGCATCATTGAATTGTGCTGAAATTACTTTTTAAATTACTGTCTAAAAAGAAAGCCAAGAAAAGTAATAACTTGAAAAGTTTATTCCCTTGAAATCTCAACACAAATAGAAAATAAGTCTTTTATTCTATATTAAATTATATACATTTGAGCCTAGTAGGAACTTTTAGCATCAAAGCTTTTTATGAATCAAAACACAAAACATTTCAAAGCAATGTTTCACATACACTGTACCGTATATTGAAATAAATTTATGACTCAATTAAAAAGTCGTCTTGATAAACCAAACTTCTTTAGTTAGTAAAAATAGAATTACTCTGCTAAAAATATTTGTAAAAAACACAATTCATGATTCATATAAAACTGTTGCATTCATACAACATGTAAGACAGGTACATAGAACATTAATGTAGTTAAATTATACCTAGGAAAGTAACCTATTGTGTAATAAAGGTCTGCGTGGGACTAATTTTATTAGTCGACACTCCTGTGAGGTTTTTTCCCCACCTGACAACTCCTGCCGTACATTCAGCCTTTGTTCACTTGCTGCCCGCTTAGAATAATTTTCTACCTGACCATTCCTGCTAAATTTACATCTGGTTTCCAAAATCTCACATTTAAATTGGGTACTACCGAAAGGGAGAGCGAACTGATAAAACTGTTGTGCAAGGATTGTAGGCTGAATGTCAGTTTTGTTTGCCTCTTTGTGATGAGACATCAGACTTGCCTGATGTGGGTTTCCTAACAGTAAACTGACCATTTTCTAATGCAAGCTAAAGGACGGCGCATCTTCACTTTGCTCTCCCATGTTGGTGAAGCCCGCTCTGAGGGCTGTTATGCAGATGATGCATGCACAGACTGTGCGAATAAAATACACGTACAGAAAGCACTGGTCCCTATGCGTTCTTCTTGTGTAACAGGCGTGAGCTCTGGCTGTACCGGGCCTCAGGAATGATATAATGTTAGACCGCTCACTCTTGTTCAAATTATACCAGATTTCCCGTCCGCTACCACGTTTTATTTGGATTTTTTATTTATTTATTCCCGCACCGCAGGAAATCTGCAAGAATGCAGACCCCTATTTTGTAACTACACTCTAAAAAATCAAGTTTGTCATTTGTTCTAAGTACTTATGTAAAGGGCACATAGTTTACCCCTTTTTATGATTTAATATTAAAATTACAGTTCTCCTGAGTGTGCCAGTTTAGGTTCAGTTCAAAACACAGTTCAGGTATTTTTAATATGTGTTAAAGAGTGTCATTTTGGGGGTGTCGCTGTTTTAGGGGCGTGTTGCTTCACATGCAAATTAATTTCGACCTCCCGCTCAACTTAACAAGGGGGCGGAGCCAACAGCTCCCCCGCTCTGTGTTTGGCAACAGACAGGCAGACAGAGAGAAGCAACATGAGTGAGAGGACCAGCATTCTGCCGTACGTGTACGACTCAGACACAGACCAAGCAGTGACTACAAAATCATTTGTGTCTTTGTATAGTTTTACAGCCAACTGTGTGCTAGTTTAAAGCTCAAAATATAGTGCAAGGGTGTTCCTTTAGTGACATCTCTTTGACTCACACGCTGAAAATGGCGGACGTGAAACAACAAACTGAGGATATGGTGATGCGTGCCTGTCAATCAATATTGGTGGAAGTGGGGAACGCGCCCCTACGTGAATTTGCGGTCGCTGTGAAAACCGCTCCAATTGGTCCACCGTTTTTATGTTGTTAAATTGAAAATAAAGGACTGAGTGTGTTTATATCACCCCAATATGACGGTCTATACACTATACCTACACACATGTCTGTTCAAACAGCTTGAAAAGTAGATTTTCACCATAGGTGCCCTTTAAAATGAGCTGAAACAACACAATTCTTGTGGTTTTTTGGGGGACAACTTTATTGTTTCATGTTCAATTCACTTAAACTTGCGAAAGCTAATAAGTTAACTTAATTCCGTCATGTAGTCCCAACACAAATCAATTTTTACAGTGTAATTACACCCAGCACTGCATAGCTGTGTTGTGATTTGTGAGACAACATGAAAGAATTAAGTTAACTTATTCGTTTTTACAAATTTAAGTGGATTGAACATGAAACAATAAAGTTGGGTTAATTCAGCTCATTTAAAATAAGCAGTTTGAACACACAGCAAACATACTTTTTGAGTGTTTATACCTTAATCAGCAGGACTTTTGTTCCTCTCCACGATGTAAAATAGCAGCACAAATGGATTAAGTTAACGTAAAAAATTTAAGTAGATTAAACATAAAACAATTAAGTTGTCCCCCAAAAATCTCAAGAATTGTGTTATTCAGCTCATTTCAAATACGTTGTTTAAACAAGTACCAAACGTTTCGAGTGTAACTAACTTTGTCAGTGCAGTTTTGCTGATGAACATCATGGCCAAGAAACAAGCCAGCACAACCCCTTATGGAAATTCCTGCTGCTCTTAACAGGTATTGCATATTAATGTTTTGCATATACAAATTCAGTCACACACTCTTATACACTTAAGTTGTAAAACGACCCTTTCTCACATGAAACGCTTGTGTTTTAGAGAGCCATAGAGCTTCCAGGTGAAGATGTTTGAACCTTGAAGTTAATTTAGGTAAGTAAATATACAAAACCTGAATCTCTAAGAACTCTAAAGCAAAGAAAACCATCTCATGCATTGACCATATGCTGAATCACGCTGTCTGGAAAGTCATGCAGGAGCTCACAAACCTTGCAGCAGTTTTCCCTCTTTTTGCCAACAGGCTTCATTCTAAGTTCTTGCGTGAGGTAAAAGTAGAATCAAATTAAAGCAAACACACACATTTCCTCAACTAGAACGGAGTAAAAGTGCACATACCAGATATCCATAAGGAAATTCACAGAAGTGTGTGAGAGTCAGTGTAGATGATGAGGCTGATGAGAAAAGCACACGCGCACACACTCTCTCTCTCTTTCTCTCTCTCACACACACACACATGACCACATGCACACACATGCTCACACACACACTGTCCCAGAGAAGGAGGAGCAAAAACCAAGCTCAGGTTTTCTTGCAAATATACGCACACCAAAACCACCCACAGCTTGGAAAGGTTTTCAAGCGGTTTTCAGGGAAAACATGATCATTCTGAAGGTACATGTTTTGCTTATAGTGCAAGAAGCTCTGTTGGGTTTAACTAGCTTCGTTTGAGATCTCTTCTGAAGCCATAGTGGAGAATACAAGGGTGTTTTATACGGGAGAGTTTACAGTTCAGCAAAAGTGAAAATGACCTCCTCGTTTAATCTTCATCATCCTGTTTTAAGCCTTTATGAGTTTCTTTACTCTGAACACAAGAGAGGATCATTTTAAGAATGCTGGTTACTGACAGGGTGGCACTTAGTGGTTAGCACTGACGCCTTACAAAAAGAAGGTCGCTGGTTTGAGTCCCAGCTGGTCTAGTTGGCGTTTCTGTGTGGAGTTTGCATGTTCTCCTTGTGTTCATGTGGGTTTCCTCTGGGTGCTCCGGTTTCCCTTACAGTCTAAAGACATGTACTATAGGTGAATTGAGTAAACAAAATTGTCTATAGTGTATGAGTGTGAATGTGAGAGTGTATGGGTGTTTCCCAGTACTGGGTTGCAGCTGAAAGGGCATCCACTGCGTAAAACATGCCGGAATAGTTGGCGATTCGTTCCACTGTGGTAACCCCTGATAAATAAGGGACTAACCCAAAGGAAAATGAATGAATGAATGAATAAATGGTTGCTAACACCTATCGACTTCCATTGTACTGTAGGAAAATAAATAAATAAGAAGTCGATGGGAGTCATCAACCAGCCTTCTTCAAAACAACTATCTGAAAGAAACTCAGTAAGATTTGAGTAAATGATGATAGAATTTTCATTTTTGGTTAACTTATAAATCTAAAAGATTTTGGTCTATAGCCATATTTTCTAATTCATGAATAAAAATGCTCACTATACATCAAATCTATGTCTTTCATAACAGTCTTTTTCATCTGGATTTCACACACATGGAATTTACATTCAATTCATCTTTATTTCTATATTGCTTTCACATTTTAGATTGTGTGTTTAGAAGTTTAACCCAGACTCATTCTGAGAACATACCTCTATATACATTTCGGGAGAGCACCAAATATGTCCCAGGTACGTTTTTTTTTTTTTTTTTTTTGTGAATCCACCAGAGGCCGCTGTGAATGCTTTTTGAAATCTCGAATTTCTCTCGCGAGCGTCATTCGCACCTGCTGTTCTCACTTAAATCCACCAGAGGCCACTGTCGACTGACTGACTGACTGCCCGATCAACTCACCCACCCTCCTCCTGCTCTAAACCCAACCAATAATGTTTTAAAAAGCACAGATTGACCAGTGACCACCCACTTCCCTAAACCCAACCCACAGTTTTAAAAAGCAATCCAGAAAAAAAAAAAGCCCTCGACTGATTTTTACCACGTTTTCAAATTTTACCACATTCTAACTCTCACACTCTCATTCTCACTTATTTACTTGTTTATTTTATTTTTTGGCCTCTGTTTTTGTTTTACCTGCTTTCCGGAACCGTTCTTTAGTGGACTCAAACCCAATTGCCGTAGTCAACTCCTCTCTGCGTCTCTAATCTGCCAGTGTGCATGGGGAGAAAGCCGTCCATATGGAGTTACAGTAAGGGGTCAGCTAGTAAGCGTGATAAGGAACAGTGTCATAACGCCCTGTAGCGTTCGTTTTAATACAGCCATGCGTACTTTTGGCTACATAATTCATGATCTCTAGAAATGTGCATAGGGCTACGTTTTCAGAATGAGCCTGTGTTAAATAAAAAGCCATCAGCCTTTGCGGGGGGGGGGGGGGGGGGGCTGGGGGGGGGGGGGTGTTGGGACTCCTGTGGGCTTTACATTATTTTACAGACACAGCAATAGTGTCAGATGCAGCAGATTGATTTTATGGCACCAGGTTAAACTTTAAGCTCAAGTACATTCAAAATTAATACAGGACATGACTGAACATGAAAGATGGTCTCAGTGACCATCCAATTTTACACCATGTATATACTTAGACCTAATGGTGTGTGTGTGTGTGTGTGTGTGTGTGTGTGTGTGTGTGTGTGTGTGTGTGTGTGTGTGTGTGTGTGTGTGTGTGTGTGTGTGTGTGCGTGCGTGCAAAGTTTGTATGTTTATAACCAACTCAGAGGATAGTAGGAGTCGCGAATCACTGGCAATGTTATTTTGGGGGTGGTGAACTGAAAAGTTTAGGAACCCCTGTACTAGAGGACCAGTCAAGTTTCTGTTTGTGTCAAGCTATAGGCAACTGACATCCATTCATTTTCCTTCAGCTTAGTCTCTATTTCAGAGGTCAGTTTTGGAATAAACCACCAACTATTCCAGCATATGCTTTACACAGCGGATGCCTTTCCAGCCGCAATCCAGTACTGGGAAACTTACACACACATACATACACTACGACCGCTTTCATTCATTCATTTTCAATCGGCTTACTCCCTTTATTCATTAGAGGTCACCACAGCGGAATGAACCGCCAACTTGTCCAGCATATGTTTTAAACAGTGGATGCCCTTCCAGCTGCAACCCAGTACTAGGAAACATCCATATACACTCATTCACACACATACACTACGGACAAATTAGCTTAGTCCAATTTACCTGTAGCACAGGCCTTTGGACTGTGGGGGAAACAAGAGCACCTGGTGGAAACCTATGCAAACACAGGCAGAACTCCACACAGAAATGCCAACTGGTCCAGCTAGGACTCGAACCAGCGACCTTCTTACTGTAAAGCGACAGTCCTAACCATTGAGTCACTGCAACTGACATTTTTCATCTATGTTTTAATTGAAGAAATGAACACTGCATATCCAGACTTTCATTTCATTATAGTAGCATATAAGTGCATTCTACAGGATATATACAGTAAATTCAGCATTTCTTGCTCAAAAGTCACATTTATCTAGCTTTTTAAATTCAATAGAAAGGCTTGTGTTCTCAGTATGCATGTGATAGTTTTTGTTGGCCAACAGGAAACAATAAACCATTTGAACTGAGATGCAGGGAAAGCCAAACAGATAGAGAGAACCAACATCCTGATGGAAACCTTCACATCCAGAAGTGAGTCTCATATTGTTTCTGGAGATGATCCAAGCAAGTGATAATAAGTTTAAGCCTAGTTCAGATTGGAAGGGTTTGATGATGTTTAGAAGTGTCGTTGCACTTATTAAAGCGTTGCGCCTCATGAAAGAAAGAGATGGTGTTCTGGCTGTTTTATATCTGCTGATAGAGTTGAGCAGCATCTCCTGGGATGTTGCCTGTAAAGAAAAGCAATTTCCTGCAAGTCCTGTTGTTATGTGTTTCAAACTGCAATAAGCAGAACATCACAGCTTTAAAGAGAGTCTTTAAGTGGCAAACAGGAAAGTACAAGTTTGCTACAAATTCACAGACAAGCTTGAAATAACTCAGCATGCAACTAACATCTAGATATACTTTAGTTTAGACAATGCAGGATTTACGTTTATCTTTGAGGTTCATTCTAAAGTACTTAAATTCAAATTTCATCTAGTTTTATTAATATAACACACTACCTGACAAAAGTCTTGTCACCTATCCAAGTTTTAGAAACAACAAATAATAACTTGACTTCTAGTTGATCATTTGGTATCAAAAGTGGCTTATATGGAAGGCAAAAGCCTCTAGAAGATGCTTATTTGAGGGAAATAAAATATGATCATGCCTTGATTTTGAATTATTTAATTAGGGCAGTAAGGTCTGACTTTGCTTAGACAAAAGTATTGTCACACAACAGAAATAATGTACAGTATAGAATATAAAGTCATGCTGCAGTGGAAAAAGACTGAATATTGTTTATGACCCCAGCGACCTTGGAGGACTGCATCCATACATCTCTGCAATCTCTTAAATAACTTATTAATAAAGTCATCTGGAATGGCAAAGAAAGCCTTCTTGCAGGACTCTCAGAGTTCAAGATTCTTTTGGATTCATCTTCAATGCCTCCTCCTTCATACCCCACCCACCCCCTTCCCTAAACCCAACTGATACTGTTTTAAAAAGCAATTCATAAAAAAAAAGCCTTCACCACATTCTCACCTTGTTTTTAACTTGTTTATTTTATTTTTTAGCTTCTGTTTTTGTCTTACCTGCTTTCTGGAACCGTTCTTCACTGGACTCGAACCCCATCGTTGTGGTCAACTCCTCTTTGCGTCTTTAGTCTGCTGATGCACATGGCGAGCTATTGGACAAACAGGTAACAGCAGGAAAGCCGTCCATACTGAGGTAAGCGGTCAGCTTGGAGGCCAAAAAAGAAACGCCGTCATACCGCCCCTAGAGCGTTCGTTTTAAAGACAAAATGCAGCCATAAATCTGTTTTTTAAAGGGGTGGTCCACTATGATATCATATTTTAACCTTTAGTTGATGTGTAATGTAGCTGTGTGAACATAAACAACATCTCTGAATGTAAAAAGTTCTAAGTTCAATGCAAAGGGAGACCTTGGGTTTTACATAGTTTGCTTAGCAAAGCCTGCAGCAAACAAAGTTTGGGGGCTACAAAAAATACTTCCGCCCCTGTGACATCACAAAAGTTCGTTACTGCGCATTCAAACTGAGCAGGAAAGGCCGTGGCCAGAGGCGCTATAACGGTATAGCAGAGATGAAGCTAAAAATGTGTTTAAACGCTGCTGTTTCCAAAGAGCTTCGTCTGTTTCTGTATTTGTGCTTCCAAAGTGCACGACACAAACACAGAAGTGCCTTCAGTTCAATATTAATTATGTTCCAGAGAATTAAAAAATACATAGCAAGCATGATTTAACAAAACAGCTTCAGAATCTCTCCCAGTTCAGTGCTGGATTCGACTAAAATCTCCTCAAAGCTGTCAGGTACAACCAGTAAGTGTTTTTATTTGTTAAAATTGATCATGATATGTACAGTGTCTAGCGTTAA